GGTTTATTTTTACACAACATCCTCCTGCCACAGCAAGTCTAAACCTTGTAACATCCACAATACCAACATTGAAGCTGCCCTCATTCCCCCAGCCCTAACGTAGAGGCAAGAGGAAAGTCCCTCATTTTGTTGTGCTTAGGTTTTATTGGGAAACATCTTTCCAAGTGCCTTCCTTGTACTCCACACGGCCAGAACTGGTGGGTGAAATGCTCACTCCTGGCTGCCTCAAAGACCACGGGAATGTGGGGTATGGAAGGGAGGGGAGATATCCCAACAACCTCAGCAATGTTCTGTATCTAAGCCAAGGCTGTGCCCTGGGACAGATGTGAGTCTTGAGGCCTTGCTGGTTTTCAGGGTGTGTGTGGTAGGTGACAGGCGAGATAAAAGCTAAAGCTGAGCAAAGATCAAAGCTGGTTTCATGGCTTTCATGGCTTGGTGCTTCTTGGTTTCACTTTCATGTGTCTCCTGGAGCCTTTCTTCTCTCCCTTTCATCTCCCTCTGCGTTTCCACCTGGCAGGGCGCAGCTTGGTGACCTCCCAGCCTGGGACACGCTCAGGCCACCTTTCTTGCAGCCCCCAAATCTGGGCAATGCTGGATGACTTTAGCCCAAGAGGACTCCTTTCAGTATCGATTCTTTCAGCTGCTGAGATTTACATCCTTTGCAGAAGTTGGACTGAAGTTTCTCGGTCTCTTCTGGCAGCATCTCTGGGTGTGAGTGCTGATTCAGGGGTGCTGGTTCCAAGAGAAAAGTTGACAAGGGGCTTTCCAAAGGGAGGGCTGCTCATTTCATTGGTATTGCAGCTTCCTTCTCAGTGAAGACCTGGATTTCCCCTCCTTGCTGTGTGCACTTCTACTTGCTGCTGGAGAACAGCAGCTCTTGGCTTGTTTGGGGTTCTTCCCAATAGAAAAATATCTACTCCTATGGTGTCTTGTGGGTGAAATGTGGGGAAAACATCTTCCCCAAGGGAAAAAAGTGGGGAGGCACTTGGCAAGAAGAGATGGGGCCTCAAAACATTAAGTGGACATTAATGAAAATAACAACCCTAGGTGTAAGCCCAGGATGCATGGTCGAGTTTGGGTCCATTCCTGGTGTGTTTTTACCTTGTGTGTGGTTGAGGAGAGAAGCACTGTTTTCTGTGGATGGGCTGCTGTCTTCTGACTTAACCAGTAGAAAATGGGTCAAGGCCATGTTAAGCTCTACCAGATATAATAGTTACGGGTTATTCTGCAAGTAATGTGGAGACAACTAAATTATGGGCTCAACTAAAATGGAAACCACAAATAATTGGAAAAACATAAAATGCTGAACTGGACTCTAACCAAACTTGTAGCTGCATTTATCAAGATATCAGGCTTCAAGGGGAAGGGGAGGAGACTTTGCCATAACACTCCTGGAGAGCCAGGGCTGTTGTCAAGTGTTTGCCTGAATGTGCTGCCCAATAGGAATAACTCAGCTCCAGCAATGGCGGCCTTTGAGTTCAGCAGAAACTTCCCAGCTTGTGAAGCTTGGGCTGGATGTAGCTGGAGGAGTTTTGGTTTTGTGAATAGACCTGGAATGCTTCTTCACTAGCCCCAGAAGGAAGTGCTCAAAGCCAGAGGCCTTCCTCCATATCAGCGGGGATGTGTAGAACGCCACATTGTGCCATTGACACGAGGGCAGCGAGGCCAAGTCGCCAGGCACAGCTCGCTTAGAACACCCCCAGCTGCTGTTCCTTGGCTCCCTCCTGGCCCAGGATGAAGGTTACCCTCCTCATCCCCTTGCTCCATGGTTGAGCCCTCGCTGTCCCAGGGTGCCCTGATGCAAATGGCCAACGGTGCCTGAGGGCTCGGCGGCACCTGCGGCGTCTAGACCGGTTCCTGTGCCCACATGCAAATTGTGGGGAGCCAGCTGGGCCACATGGCCCTGGTGACACTTTCTGGGAAAGTCCTTGGCTGCCATTCCTGCCTGACATCCTCTGTGCCAGGCAGAAGTGGCACTGAGGAGTAACGGTGCTCCTGTGCTCGGTTTTGGGTTCGTTTCGCAGTGAAACCAGTGGAGAGCTCTGGAGCAGCATGGGGGTGCTGGGGTGTTCCTCATGGTGCTTTTCTAGCAGCAAGGATGGGCTGCCACAGAGGTCTGGGGGTTTCCTCCTGTGCTTACTCGGTGCCGTTTGTGTCTCTGGGGTGGCCAGGACTTCCCAGAAACTGTCCCCTTGGGTCTGTGCATCCCTGTTTTTGCATTGCTGTCCTTTCAGCAGTAGAAAGCTGCTCCCCAGAGGCCCCAAGATGGACTGGGGAGGCAGTTATGTTGGATTTAGGTTTCTTAAGTGTTCTGTAATTTCTCTTGTTCTTGCTCCATCTTCCTTATCCAATCCCTTTTGAAGCTCCCCTTCTTTAGCCCTCAGCACACCAAATACTTGGAAAGATGCCAGAGCAGGTTTCTCACATGCTTGTAGTGGTGTCATGACACCACTCTGCTGTCTCCAAAAATGGCCCAAACTCACAATTTTGTCCCCTTGCATCAGCAGCAAGTCATGCATCTTCACTTGAAGGCAGCAAGTAAGAGTGAGCTCGATGTGTTGTTCACTCAGCCTTATTTTGGACTGATTTCGTTAGGTTTTGGCTAATTCTGGTGCTCTCATGTTGACACTGAAATGTGTGTGGGTTTCAGGTTTCTCAGGTTTGGGCAGGAAGCATCTTTATCTTTGAAGCAGGTGATGGACCACAAACCACAGTGGTGAAGATTCACTGCACTTGGGGTTTTTGGGGGATAATTTAAAAAAACCCCACAGGTTTTTGTTTTTTTTTTTTTTCTCTCCTGCAAGGAGCCCTGAGTGAGTTATGGGCAAAGGAGGAGTAAGCTGAAAAATCACTTTCTCTGAAGTGATTCTCTTTGAGAGGTTTGTTTGCTGCAGATGTTTGTGATGCAGCCTCTTGTGAGTCCTCCCTGAAGGGCTGGAGAGCTGCATCTCCTTGGCACTGACGTCAGGGTTGGGTTTCTGCCCATCCTGGTAAACATGGGAAAGGTTTTCCATGTGGCCTTTAGGTGCTGCTTGCATCACTTCTTTGGAGGGCTCTGATTTAGGAAGGATTAAAAAGTATTACAGGTGTAAGAAATATTACAAAAATCCAGTAAGAATTAGATAAAAAATGACTAAAATCAAAGTCTTGCCTGCACAGGGGCAGCTGCTGCAGAAAACAGAGAAGCTGTGAGGGTGCTTTGGATGTGTTTCAGTTGAGGCTGGCCTGGATGATGCCACACATCCCTACTTGAGGGCCACTCTTCTGAGTTCTTGGCATCCAGGAAGCAGTCAGCTTAAATGCAGACGTGGCTCACATCCTCCCCCTGCTTCTCCCTTTGCAGAATTACCACTTATGCAGAAATATCTGCCACCACCATGGCTATGGCGTTTCCTTCTGAGAAACCAGCCCAGTGCTCATCACTTACATCTTTCTTATCCAGCACAGCACTGTGTCTGCTGCCCTGCCCATTCACACACCCTCCCAAAATCCATCCAGCTGATGCTTCTGGAGCTCCTGCTTCTTTCCAGGGCGGGCAGGAGGTGGACACCTGCCCTGTGGCTACAGATCAGGGACAGGGTCTGGCTCATCTTGATCTGTCTGTTGCATGTGTCCAAGGATAATTTTCTTCTTGTACCAATTTCATTAAGCACTGCCACGAATGCTGCTGGATTCCTCCAGTGCTGGAAGTGCAGCAGCTGAATGGTCCATCTCCATCTTTTCTGGGGAAAGTTGCTTTCACTTCTCTTGTTTTTGCCCAGTTCTAAAAAGCAGGACCATTTTATAGTTAGGAACTTCAGAAAGATTTTCAGATGTCTTTTATGACTTCATAGCAGTTTGCATAGGTGACCAGTCATCTCTCTGCTAATTTGCTGCCTTTCCCACCATTTTTTCCTCAGAGACTCCTGCCACAACCCAGCAAAACCAGTCCTTGGTTGTGTTCCTTCTAATAAATCTCTGCAAGGAAATTGAGAACTCTGGAAGTGTTAAAGAAAACCCAGTTTTAAGGTCATCTCCTCTTCCACTGCCGTTGACAGCAAGGCACCCATTCTTTCTATAGGATTTTGGGAATAGCTCATGGAAATTGTCCCTGGCCTCTCTGTGACCCTGGTGTACAGGGAGTTAAACTCCCCACTCATCTCTTGCACTTCACAAAACTTTTGGACCTATCTCAGAGGAAAAACCCAAGATTTTCAAAGAGAGATGTGTAGCTTGAATGAAAGACTTTAAAAAAAAAGATTAACTATTTTGGTAACAGCTATATAAAATGCTGATGTGATTTGAAAGTTCCAAATTACAACATTATCACACAACCACATCTCTTTTCTTGTGGCCTCTTCCTTCCTCCTTGCCTCGCCACATATCCCCTTCCCCTTTTGCTTCCCGGCTGGTGACTTCAGTGAATTTATTTGGGGCAAAGCCCCCATCCCACCAACACCTGAGGGCACAGGGTGCTCCTGTGGCCATCCTGGGTGAGTTACTCGCCCAGCCAAGTGTGAAATTTGAAGGATTTGAGTGCAAGCATAGAGCAGGGAGATCACGATTGTTTTTCCTTGGCACGGCGTGAGGCGTTTTTGCTGATGAGAGAGGCAGCAAAAATAGCGTGGGGAAAATATAGCCCCAAGAAAGAAATATGTAAATGTCTGAGTATGCTAAAATCCCCCCTGCTTAGTCAGGGGCTTGGGCTCTGCTTTCATTCTGGGCTTTTTGTTGTGGCTGAGGGGTAAATACTCAAGGGAGTGAAGGGTGATGTGGGGGGGATGTGTGGGGAATCCAAACGTTGCACTGCGTCCCAATGGCTGGTTTTAGTTAAAAATATTGATCACTGAACTTCTGGGCTGTCTGTGGGGAGCATGTGAGAAATGAACTGTTTTTCTCTGCTGGCCGGGTGTGACTGCTGAGCTGTGAACTCGGTACCCGTGTCAGGGCGTGACCCTCCCTGATAAATAGGGCTGTTTGTGCTCCTGCAGAGCGGCTGTGGGGCTGAGCCTTCCCTGAGGATGGGAGCCCCCCTGCTCCCCTGGCTGCTGCTGCTGCTGCTGGTGTCCCACCCTGCCCACGCAGGTGAGCTCCGGTGCCTTTGCTGGCATCATCCTGTACCCAGAGCCACTGGGGAGCTTGGCATCCTCCTGTCTGTTTGGTGAGGGCTTGCCTTGTTGTTTGCCAGGGAAAAAGCGCCGCCATCCTTTGCAGGGCTCTGGTTCAGCTTTTGGGAGCGGTGTGGGAGCAGGGAACTGAGCAGGTGCAGGCGGCAGCCTCTCACTGTGGTCCCTATCAGCCTGTCTGTGCCTGTAGCTGCCACCTTCTCTGTCTCTCAGCCATCCTGGAGGTGAACGGGAACCTGAGCTGTAGGTGTGCCAAGACAACCTCGGAATACATCAGTCCCAAGAAATACGAGAGCATTGAGATAAGGCCCGTGGGCAGCAGCTGCAGGCGCACGGAGATCATGTAAGTGCCGGGGCTCCTCTGCTGCCACCATCCCGCTTCTGGAATCTAAACCTTTCCAAAAGCGCCACCTGCTTCCTGGCTGAAAAACGTCAGGGGTAGAAATGCGGATCCCCAGGGACTAAAGGAATCTCTCCAGCAGGGAAAAGCGTGGTTTCCTCGAGCTGGAGCAGGGGTGTTTGCAGCCTGAAGGAAGCGCTTCCTCCGACACTGAGGCAGCATGAGCCATAACAAGTTTTCCCAGATTTTTCTAGCTGCTTGGTGTTGATACATTTATAGATCTCTAGAAAAAATTCTCTGAGCAATGTTCTGGGCTTCAAGTGTCTGCTCCACGTAGGAATGTGTTGCGTCTTGCTTGTTCCAGCCATGCTGTGTCTTTCTCTGTCTCTGGCAGCTTTCTACAATTGTTGGTACTGTGAGCAAAATGTGACTCTTCCCCATCAGCTCTGGCTGCTTGAATCCCTGCCTTTGGAGGGGACAGGAAAGCTCAGGAACTCTCCTTGCATTTCAGCATTAAGTTGAGAACCTCAGGGAAGGTGTGTGTGAATCCCGAAGCCCCCTGGGTGAAGAAGCTGCTGAAGCGCATTGCCAGCACGTAAGTTGTTGGGTGGAAACTCCTTTGGCTCAGGTGTCCCTGGACAGCATCCCAGTACACCCACGGTTCTGGGAGGCTCTCGTGGGCCCAAGAGCTCTGGGAGAGCTGCTGCTGTCCAAAGGACCCTCTTCCAAAGCAATGAGGGCCAACACTTTGCTGTGAAAAACAGTGTTCAGCCCCACATGACCCATCTGTGGGTCATGCTACCCCTGGCTTACACACCGCAAGTGCTGCATTTAGATTTGGGGGAGCAGCATGTGGGGAGAAGCGGCAGGAGCAGGGTTTGCTCGTGGCTGGTGCAGCAGTGTGAGGATGCTGGGAAAGCTGCCCTGCTGTGTGGTGCCTGTGCTGGGTTTGTGGCCATCCTGGCGAGCGATGCCTGCCCTGGGGAAACAGCAGCGACTTCCCTCGGCTAGGGCAGGAGCTTCCTCTCCCAGATCCCATTTTCTCTGTGTTCACACCTTTCTCCTCTTTCTGCTTTTCACAGGAAGAAATAATAGGTTTCCTGCTAAGGAAGTTGGTGCCCAGAGCCCCGAGGCAGGTTGGCAGATGATGCCCAGGTGTGCAGACCTGACTGCTCCTCACTTTGCCCTGTGTTCCTCCCCTTCCCAAAAGCCCCACATGTGGCTCTGGTGGCAGTGGCTGTGGGGAGGGGGCCTCACTGCTGGCCCCAGCCCCATGGCAGGTTTGGGGGGAAGTTGTCCCCTGCTCTTGGTCCCTGGATCAGCGTGAATGTGAATCCTTCATTTATTTAGTTGCCTGTGGACTGTGAAACAGTTCCCTGTCAGGGGCTACTCCTGCTTCTTTAGGAATGACTTTGTGACTTTTTCCATGTGTAGTGCTCGGCAACAGAGTGTGTGTCTGAGGCTTGTGTGGCACAGTGTGGCATGTCCTGTTCCAGAAGCTCAAGTCCAATAAAATGCAGGATTTTTCTTTCTGTTGTATTTTCTCTGGATCTCCTAGCTTTGAAGCCATGTATGACATAGAATCATAGGACAGCTTGGATTAGAAGTAACCTCAAAGCCCATCCAGTCCCACCTCCTGCCATGGACAGGGACACCTTCCACTATCACAGGTTGTTTCAGGCCCTGTCCAACCTGGTGTTAGACACTTCCAGGGATCCAGGGGCAGCCACAGCTTGTCTGGGCATCCTGTGCCAGGGCCTCCCCACCCTCACAGGGAAAAATTTCCCCTGACTATCCCATCTAACCCTGTCCTCTGGCATTGTGAAGCTATCCCCTGTTGTCAGGGGTCCCTCCCATCATAACCTGTTATCTCCCCTGGTGGTGATTTGAGGGCACAATGTTGGTGGTAGGGTGATGGGACACTCCAGCCGAAGTGCTCCACATCCAAGTGATGGAGCTGGGATTTGTAGGTGGCTGTTTTAAAAACCAGTCCAGGCCAGTAAGGAAATATGTCAGGAATGGGAGTGTCTTGGCAGAGTTTTGGGGTAAAAAAAAATCAAAAGCAAATGTCACCAGGGCACTGCTGGGTTGTGCCTTGCAGGGGGACAAGGTGGCTGTAGGACAAATGAGTAACACCTGATCATGCAGGACCAGAAAAGCACCCCAGAAAGCCTCCAGTCTGGTGGGGCTGTGTGTGCTGAGAACAAAGTTGGAGGAAACGACCAAGAAAGGAAGGGGAAAGCAGAGCCAGTTTCGGGAAGCCAGGCCCCCTGCTGAGCCCCAAGGCACTTTTATCGGCAATTGCAGACTCAGCAAGCGCCGTCAGCAGCGACCCTGGGGCCTCCTGTGCCCCTTTACTTCTCCTATTTCCCACTCAAATAGAGGGATGCTGCGGGGCCCGGGCTGGGGCCGGCATGGCTGTGCGGGCAGCCCTGCTGCTGGCCATGCTGCTGCTGTCCCACCGCCCTGGGGACACAGGTGAGCCTGCCCTGCCCCGTGCGTGGGGGCTGCGAGGCTGTCCGGGTTTGGGGTGGGTGGTGCTGGTGCCACGTGGCAGGAGATGCATTGCCCGGGGAGGCTTTTGGGGTTTTGTGTGAGCCGTGGCCGTGTGCCCCCCCAGCAATCCTGGAAGCCAACGGCAACCTGAGCTGCCGCTGCCTCAAGAGCACGCGAGCCTTCATCCCTCCCGAGATGTACAGCAGCGTCGAGGTGTGGCCCGTGGGGAGCAGCTGCCGGCGCCCCGAGGTGGTGTAAGTGCTCCCAGGGCTGTGTGCCCTCTGCCCTGCCTGTCCTGCCTGAGCTGCTGTGGTTTGGTGCTCATTGTCCTTGTGACAGGGGTGGGAGGCTCAGCTCAATCCGTGTGTTTTCTAGGATTACGCTCAAGAGCCTGAAGAAGGTCTGCGTGGATCCTGACACGCCGTGGATGAGGAAACTCTTGCAGGACCTTCCTCACCTGTAAACTCCCTTTTCCCTCTGAGCACCAGGGGCATCCCGTGGGAACCTCTCTTCACACATGCTCCGCTTCTGCTTTTGGCAGGAGGAAGAAAAAGGCTCCCCGCTGAGGAAGCTGCCACGAGAGGCATGGCCAGATGTGCTGGGCCCAAAACTGCCTCCCTTCCCCATCGTGCTATTGCCTTACCCCAGTCCAGAGGGAAGCATGCTGCTGCCTGAGCCCCTTTTAATGCCTTTAAACCCTTAAAAATGCCCATCCCTGCTTCCAGCCTCTCCCATCCCGTAGCCATGTGCTGCGAGTCCCTTTTGAGCATGACCCAGCAGGCCCAATAAAGGTGGCAGCCCGCTGTCACTGTCCCTTGCCTCCCTTCACGCGGCATGCCAGAAGTTGGGATGCTCGGGGTGGGAGGCATGGGGGGCAGCAGCTTTTGGCCAAAACCAGGTTTGAGGAGGTGGCTGCGGCATTTTCTGCTTTTTGTGGGGGAGGGGCAGGAACAGGCCACCCAGGGGGAAGCGAGGGCACGGAGGTGGAGCTGTCCCTTTGTAACCCCCTCCTCGGCCTTCCCAGCCCCAGAGAGGGTTGTGAAATCCCCCCTGGGGTGAGGGGCTGGCTATAAAGCGGCCCTGGTACAGCTTGGGGAGGGCAGTGAGGATGCGGCTGCTGCGGGCCCTGGCGCTGGCCCTGCTCCTGAGCAGCTTGGTGCCAGGGGGCGGTGAGTCCCTTCGGGTGTCTGTCCATCCATGGCCCCTCCAAGCGCCTGGACAGGGGCACTGGGTGCCCAGATGGGGCTGAGCATGGATTTTATCTACTAAGCTTTCAGTTTTGGTTCTTGCCTATCTTTGAGCTTGTCTTTTAAATCCTGTGGCTAAGCTGGAGGGGGGTACTGGGGGTGGAGAGGGGGGGTTTGCCTCTTGGGTTTAAACTGCTTCTCTTCCAGACCCCCACAAAATTCGAGTGCTTGGTGGGCGGGCAGTGGGTTTATTTCATAAAATGCTGGCTAAGTTTTCCAACCCTGCAGGTAAACCCCTTCCATATGCAGGACAAGAAGCTTTAAGGCTGTGCTGGGAGGGATTAGCCCTGCTGGGTGTCAGGGATGGGATGGGGTGGGGTGGGATGGGATGGGATGTGCCTCCCCCTCGGGGGCCCGAGAGCTGGTGTGGGCTGCCCTGGAGCACAGGTCTGTCGCTGGAGAGCCTGCTGACCAACATGAGGTGCAAGTGCATCAAATCCACCGCCCACGTCATCAACCTGGGGCTGATCCTCACCATCCACGTTACCCCGCCGGGCATTCACTGCAGGAGGAAGGAGGTCATGTAAGTGCAAAGCCTGGGAACCAATCCCTGCCAATTGCTCCTTTGGGTACTGGTGCAGAAGTATGTGGAGGGGGGAAGCCCATAAATGTCGGGGTGACTCTTGGTCCCAATTTCAAGGGTGTCCCTCCCTGCATGGCTCAGGGTCATCAGGTCAGGGCCCCAAAATGTTCATGCTGAGGGAGCAGGGGCGTTTTCTCTGCGGGTTAGAAAAGCTTTGGGGAAGGGACATGCATGGGGTGAGGGGCTCATGGCCTTCCAGCCTCACCCTGAAGAAGAACAGGCAGGTGTGCGTGACCCCCGAGGCGCCCTGGATCCAGCTGCTCATCCACAAGCTGATGCAGAGGTAGGCGATGCCCAGAGGCTGGAAAACACATACCCAACACCTTTGCAGGACCATCCCTTTCCCCTGACTCTCCTGGTTTCCTTTCTTTCCCTCCACAAACTCTCCAGGAATGGCATCAAGAAAGCGCTGCCACGGCTGCGGCGGGAGGCACCTCCCCTCGGAGACGTCCCTCCCACTGGCCGCATCCCAGGAATCCATGGTTATGAATCCCTCGTGGGACAGGAATGACACAGCCCCCCTGCCCTGAGACACGCTGGGCTGAGTGGCACAACGCTGGCCCTTCTCTGCTCCTGGGTTTTGGCTGAGCAGGAGCCTTTCCCTGCTTTCCCCTCAGGCACCCTCTGCTTCCTTTCCTTTCGGGTGCCTGCGCTGTTCCCGCACACAATCACAGCCCATCCCGGTGGCAGCAATAAAAGGATGAATGTGCTCCCCCTCCCTGGCTGTGGCAGCTCTTTCTGCCTGGATTTGGGTAAAAATTGGGATTTTTGGAGTGGGGAGTTAAGGCTGGACTGTGGCACCGTGAAGCCTTTGGCTGCCTTGCCGAGGACACTTCTGCTCCAGGAGTCGGTGCCTTTTCCTGACAGCTCCTGGCAGGAGCAGGTAATTGCAGGAGTTGGATATGGTCTGCTGCTGGCTCCTGGCTGTGGAAACACAGAAGCGGGAAATTTCCCAGTGACTGGCTGAGGCTTTCTGTGGAGTCCCATTTCCCAGCCTGGCACAGCAGTCAGTGTGCCTTGGCCACACGCACTGAGGTGACACAGGTGTGACTTGTGACCTGTGCAGGATTATCCCTGTTTGCAATCTGGCTTGGCCATTCTGGGAGGAGGTGTTTAAGGTCTGCAGGAATCAAATTTGTGTTGTCCACCCACCCCACTTGATGCCAGTAATGTGTCCCTGGGCAAGCTGGGAAACACCCACCCAGGCTCTGTATCTCCCTTCTTCCTGCCCTGTGGTCCTCAGGAACCACAGCAGGCATAAGAATGGTCGAAAAAGGGCTGTCTGTTGACTCCAGAAGGCTGTGGTGGGAAGAAACCTGTGGATGTTTAGCCTTATCCAATGTGAGTGAGCAATATCCCATCTGAACAATGAGCAAATTAAAAAAAAAAAAAAAAAAAAAGTAGTTTTTAAAGGGAAAATGTAGTTCAGGGTTTGATGACCTCCCTTTCCCCAGCTGCCTGAAGGTCCAGGGCAAGCAGTGTTTCCTCCTGCCAGAGGCCCCCAGGTCCCCAGATGTGAAGCAAAGCTGCTATTCCCATGAGGCAGGGCGTAAATCCCCCCAGAACTGTAGTGTAAGCATGCCTGGGAGTGACCCTGCAGCTGCCCCTGCTCCATGTGCACTTCCATCTTCTCAGAGATGGGACCTCCTGCCTGCAAAGGCAGCACACAAGAAAAAAATCTGACTTAAAACTCCCTGGGCTCTCAAAGTAACCACTGCAAGGTGGTGTGGGAGCCTCCAAAGAGGATGGACGGACCCCAAGCACTGGGATCACTCTCACCTTCACCATTCCCACAGGGAAGGGTTGTGCCAAACCTGGATCTAGAGGTTTATGATCGCCACCTAAAATTATTTCTAACTGAAGTGAGTTCTTGGCTGATGCTTGGCAGAGAGGATTAATATGTGAGTGGTTCCCACCAGGTTCTCTTGGGATCTGGGTTACCTTGGAACACCAAAGGGTGAGGGGGAGGGAGTGTGCGTGACCAAACTTGTGGAAGGTTCAGTCTCCTTGCAGTGAAAGAAGGAAGCAGAAATATTCAGCTGCATTGTACAAAATTCTCTTTTTTTATATATATATATATATATGTATATATATATACACACACAAAACCCCGTAATCGGACAGATTCACCAGATTGAATTTTTTTAAAAAGTTGCTTGTAGAAGGGTGTTGGATTTTGTTTTCTCTGCTGGCTTTAGGCAGTGCTGTTGCTGGGGAGTGGACACCAGGCACTGTGTTTGGGAAGCAAACAGAGGCAGTGAGCAGCAGGGAAGGGCCTGGAGCCTTTTTTCCAGGTATTGCCTGCAACATGCTGGGAACCGAGGCCGGGAAAAAAAGCACCATCCCCTCACTGCTCCTGCTGGGAAGGGAAAACCAGGAGGAAACCACACAGGAGAGGCAGGTAAACATATGCATTGACTGAAACATGAACAAAACTGGGTTTTTTTGTGCAATGTCTGTTAAAAAACCATTTTGTGTTAAAAACCACGTGGCGTGACGAGCGTTGGGAAGTGCAGCAGAGAAAATCCAGTGGAACACCTTGGTGCAACAGAACACTTCCATGGCTAGAAACCCAAGGGAAATCCAGCAGGAGCAGCTTACAATGTTTGCCAAGGTTTGGGTTTTCCCATCCCCATCCTCTTGCACCCCCACATTACAAAACATTGGTGCTGGGTTTGGATTTTTATTACTAAATGGGCTCCTCTGCAGTTCATAGACAGTCATGGGCGAATCGGAAATTCCATTTTGTACAAACAGCTCCAAAAATACTGGGAGTGAAGTATGGTTAGGAAACACTGCTCACACTGGGACCACCGTGCCTGGAGGAACAGGGGGAGCAGAGCATCCCCCCCTCCCCAAAAAACATACAGCAGCTGAATACAGAAAGGTAATGTCCACAGAATTAAGTTTTTCATGCTATTCTACTTTCCAGTGCTCTCCAATCCATGTGCCATGGCCAGGTAGGGAATGCTGAGGTATATTCCAACAGAGATACCTGCACCCAGAGGAAAATCCATCTCTGGAAAGGGATTTTTTTTCCTCTTTTTTTTTTTTTTTGTTTTTTTGTTTTGTTTGTTTGTTTGGTTTCGTTTTGGTTTTGCACAAAGCAAGTGCTATGCAGGACTTTCCCCCAGCTCCCATTGCTTCCAATTGATCCCAGGCCATAGATGACACCCCCATTTTTTAGGCACTTTTCCAAGGGAGTTGTCACTTTGCTGAACCCATTTTTGCCTTCTGGCCCACTCCACCCCCTCCCTGGCCCCTAGTCAGAGTCAGGGAATAGTTTCTCCTCTAAGTCAAATTGATTTTTTTCCCCCTATGGAAAATTTCCTGTGTATAAAATGACAAAGGAAATGTTTAATTAAAGAGGAGCAGCCTGACTTGGCAGTTTTGCAAGACAGAAGATGGCTCTTTTGTATTTAAAACTAATTTCACAATTCAAATTGGACTTTTTTTGAAGTATACGAATGAGACATAAATATAGGCTTATCAATCTGCTTAAAAATTTCATTCACATCATGGAAAATGCTTTTCATTTATTAAAAATATCACATTTGGAGACTAGAAACAGTAAAGTGCATGAAAAGTTTCAAATAGAAATTCAAGAAAATCTTATAGCAGCAAAAAAGCAGAATAAAGAAAAACTTAAAAACACAGACACGACCTTTTCCTATCACTGTGCCTTTTTTTTTTAAACATTAAGCAGCCAAACAACTTGGTTTTTTTTGTTTGTTTTTTTTTTTTCTCCAGAAAATTGCATCGTGTTTAATGCCTCTTGAGGCACAAGGTTTTGAACTGGCCACCCAGAGCATTAAAAGGAAAGAAAACAAGGATTTCCAACACATCCAAAGAGCATTAACATTTGGGAAGGAACCAGCAGGTTTTTACTTCAGCCCTGACTGACAACAGCTCCCAAACAAATTGGAACCAGGAGGATTTAGAGCTCGAATTTGATCACAGATACTTGGCTTTCTTTGGTTTTCTGATAGTACTGAGATGAGGGGCAGGGCCATGCTGCCAATCGTTTATAGTCAGGTAATTAAGTGCTTTGATAATGTGCAAAATTTATGTTGAATGCAGAGTTGAGTCTCCATTTTGGATTTGAACAAACAGTATTTCTAACATTCTTCCTACAATACAAGCATCTCTAGTTTTGTTTTTCTTTCTCCTAAAAGGTTGGCTCAATTTGCCACGTTCTGGAAAAAAGCATTACCTTGAAATATGTTAAATGCAAGTTTTTTTACATCTCTTTTGTCCATTTAGAAGTGCAGCTTCCTACTGAAAAGAAAAAGCCAGTTTAAAGTAAAATAAAAAAAAAATCAAAACACAAACAAAAATTAAATTAAAAACCTGGAAAGGGGAATAATACTTTGGTTCCAGCCCTAGTGCCAAATGATACCGACGTGCACCAAAATGTGCAAAAATCTCTTCTCAAACACATAAGGAAAGGAGCTCGAAGAAGCAGCTGAAGGTTGGCCATACTTCACTCCTATCTAGAGGGATTTACAAGTGTACAGGTCCGTGGGGCGGGCGGGAGCTGCACTCACTACCTGCGGGAGGGCAGGTGCACGCCGTTCACCAGCGGCAGCAGCGGCGGCTGCAGCTCCAGCTGCGTCAGCAGCGAGAAGTGGTCCGAGGGGATGTGCGGGTGCGGGCACCCCGTGATGTTGTTGTCCACCAGCCACTGAGGGTCCAAAGGGCCCAGCACTCCCAGCACGTTCATGTGAGTGTTGGAGTAGAAAATGTAGTCAATCACACCCTGCGGAGAGAGGGAGGGAGGGAGGGAGCGTGGTGAGGGCAGGGCCCGCCCTCGCTAACCCCGGGGCAGCCGAGGCCAGGGAGCCGAGCGGGAGCGGGGCTTACTTTGAAGTCGAAAGTGTAATTGGTGTAAGGCATCAGGTTGTTCTCGTAGGCGCTCTTGAGCTGGAAGCCGTGCGTGATCCTGCCCTCCGAGGCTCCGTTCTTGCCGTTGCCGCTGAAGTTCATCAGACACTCGTTGTAACGCAGCTCCTTGAAGTCCTTGTGGTTGTCAGCTACGATGCCGTTGCTCAGGTATTCCACTACACCTGAGGGCAAGGGGAAGGGTTTAGGGAGCTGCTTTGAAAGACAGCTTTGGGATATTAAAAACCAGAAGGCCACCAAGGCACCGTGAGTTCAGAGTTAGCAAAGCAACCCAAACCCCCCTCATTGGAAAGTCTTCATCAGGAACTCACTTCTTTCCTACTTATTGCTGCTTCAGGCATGGGTGTTTATGTAATGATTTATTTAAGATCTAAATGTGCCTTTCTACACTTCTGCGGGTGCAGCCAGCTCTCCTGGAGTGTCTAGCTGAGCATGAAAAGCAGGCAACTCAGCCGGAGGACTCACAGTCTCTTCAGCCAGATTTCCAAAGGCAGCAGTTCCTAGGAAAGCTTTCATCCATGCCTTCCCTGGGCAGTGCAAACAACCCCCTCACCTTCAGAAGAGAAAGTGGACCTGAACGTTCTAAGAAGGTAAGTTAAAAGTCAGGTCTAAAAGCCAGCCTTACCTGAGTCAGGCAGTGAGTTGAGATCTGCACACAGCACCAGAGGGATAGAGTTGGGATCTGCTGTTGGGCTACTGGGCCTGCTCGAGGCTTTCTCCAGGATGTTTTTCAGTTCTGAGACAAACATCATGGTCTGGATGAGTTTCACATCTGAGTACTCGGGGTCCCAGTGCATGTGGGCATTGGCCACAATGAGCAGCTGCTTGTCCACGTGAAGCGATTTCATACCTGGACAAACAACGTTAGCAGTGAGAGGTTCTGTGCTCCTGGTTGTTCATACTTGGGGTGTAGCTCCTCAGAGCTCAGACACAGCAGCAGATAGGTGTGTTTTCATTGCTTAAACCTGCTGAAATGCCTGTAAACAGCCCAGGGAGCTCCTTCCAGCCTCCTCTGAAGCCATGAAAACCCCAGCCATGGAGACAGAGCAGGGTGACAGAGCCATGGGGACACAGCAGCTACCTGTGTTGGAGTTGTCTGCTGCATCTCATCAAACTTAATGAAAATGTAACAGTCAATCAAGAGGCAGGAAAAGATACCTGATAATCTCCTCCTTCCACATCAGTACATTAGCACTGACATCTAATCACTGGGGGAGGGTGGAAGGAGTCAACCCAGGGGAGGAAAAGAGAGTTGAAAATAGAAGTTGAACATTGTTGCCAACTACTGGTAAGAGCAAATGTGTGTAAACACATTGACCTTGGGAAAGCTGAGCTGCTCAAGCAGAAAGTAACAGAGTAAGTAAGCAGGGATAGAAACCTGAAAGGAGAAAAACAAATGCTGGGCATCTTGCTGTGAGCACAACCAGACCATGTCACCTCTGCCTGTCTGAGCCACCATGGGCTGTGTTTGGCTGCACTACCAATGGGAACAGCGTGGATTACCTAGGAATAACTCATGCCTGTCCCTGGAGCTGAGTAGAAGTGAGGACACCACAGTCATACTCACTTGCTCCAAATAATTCCTTGTGCACCTCCAATACCACGGCGACCCCGATGTTGTCCTTGGTCATCACTCTGTTCAACATGGCTTCTGAGCCCTCCGAGTTGGCCATGGCCACCTGGTTGAACTCCACCGTGTGCTTCTGCACCAGAGTGAACCTGGGCAAGGAGGGGAGAAGCACAATGAGCAGCTGTGACACAGCCCCTGTGGCAATGTCCCCATCTGAAAAACATCCCTGTCTGCTCCCACAGGCTCCCCCTCTTCCAAACCACTGGACACAACCCGAGAGCTGCATTCTTCTTTTGCAGTGAAAACTCTGAGAGTTTTCACTCTCAGGCTTTGGGAAGCTTCCATCCTAATGATGGGAGCTGTTCTGAGGTTTAAGTGTAAATTTTTGAAGCTGCTGCTGCCCCTTACTTTTCTGTTTTGAAGAATATGGCGCAGCCATCCACATGCTTTTTCTCCTGCTCCGACATGATTTTGGCACGTGACTTTGGAGAAAAGAATCCGTCATATCCCCGTTCTTTCAGAGCTGGCAGGAAAAGGGTGAAGTATTGCTCCGTTTCCACTTCCTGCAATTGTACACAAACACCTCAGGCTAAAGAAGTGAAGGAAACCCTTCCTTGTGCCTGCCCAAGCTTGCAGGCAGAAAAGCTGCACAATCCATGTCCCTTCCTAGACCAATGGCCTGCTGGAAATGGATGTACATTCCTGCATTCCCTGGAATCCCTCCCACAGGCAAAGTGAGAGGTGTATTTTGGATAGCAGCAGACCACACCTGGTGTATTTGACACTGGAATATGGATATACAGCTTGCGTTGGGAAGACCTGGAATTTGCTATCGAGCAGGTGACTATGGTGCTCCCAAGGGAACATTTAATCCTAAAGGTGGAGGTTCAGGTTTGCTGTTTCTGATGGAAAATGCAGTTATGTTTTACTACCTGAAGGCTGATGATGTCTGCATCACAGTTGACGATTTCTTCCATGATTCCCTTTTTCCTGTACTCCCAATTGAGTGCCCAGGACGGGCAGTAGCCATAGAGCTGCCGGGTGGCGTATTTATCACACAACACATTGTAACACATGACTGTAAATGAAGCTGCAAAGAGAGAGAGAAAAGGAAAGATTGTCAGCCTCTGGAGGTTGTCTCTTTGGCTTGGACAAGAGTGACAAAGCCCAACATGGAAAAGAAATGCCCAGCATCCCATTCAAATGGCAAAAATGGTATTTACAGCACAGCCATATGGTAAATTTTCTAGTGCAAATGAACAAATTGTTGTTTTCACTCTGATCCAGGAAAATGAAGTCCAAGGTAAGTTTCCCAGTGTATCACCTTGTGAACACATATTTACCTGAGGGCAGAATTTGGTCTCGTTCTTTTAAAGTAATCCATGGCCTTGGAGGCAGCTGCTCTGGGTGAACTGCAAAAAATTAAAACCAGTGATTAATTCAGAGTTTCTATTTGTAAGTTACAGTTCCCAAGTCAAAGTGATGACTGAACAGTAATGTGTTTTGCATCCCCAACTCCCCAAGTCTTCAGGGGAGGCAAAAATCATTTAAATGAGTAGCTCTAGTAAGAGAAAAAATGTCATTTGTAAGATTGGTGACTATTTCTGTCTCTTCTTCTCAGATTTAGAAGCACAACCGAAATAATTGAATACTGAAACATTGAATAATCTGCTGAAGAAGGAGGGTAAATCCTGGCATGGTTCAGCCATCCCTTCTCCAAGAACCTTGCCCTACATCCATCATTCCTGCAGTGCCTGAACCTGGGAGACACTGAGTGGCAAAGCAGAAGGCTCAGTTACAGAACCACAAAGCAGGACTCAGGTCAGGTACTGGATGTTCTTAATGGCTTCCGTGTTTCTCGAGCTAAATTTGACATTCTGCTCACATTCAAATGATTATTTCTGGTGGGGAGAACCAAAATGGCTTCAGCAAGGCAGACTTTGCCCTTGGCTGGTAACTGAAGGGTTTCAAACAGAACAGAGAGAACATTTGGCTGTAACACAGAAGACCCTCAGACAGTACAATCAGCCTCTTCCACTGGGGCTGAGGGTGTGTTTTGGGATATGACTGGAGCCACCAGACGAAAATACTGTGGCAGGGAAGGAATACTCTCCCTGCAGTGGTTCAGAGTCTTGTTTTAACAGCAAATGCTACTTTTAAAGCCTTTTTGCACCAGATCCCTCGGGCTGTACCTGCTAGATTGTCAAGCATGTAGTTCAGTAGCTTTCGGGTTCCGTCTGGATCCTGGTAGAGGCTGAGAATATCTTGGGATAAAGGATTGCCTGTCAACAGCACAAAACAACAGCAGGGGGATCAGCTGCCTGCCTTTCTTGAGGCTTTCCACCCAAAGAAAATCTCCCAGAATGAGAACAGACAAATTAACTCAGCAGGTTAAAGGGTTTATTTCCTTGACTGCAGATTTGAAATGAGCTCCTAAGGAAGTTTAGCAGCACTAAGAAAGAGAAGCATTGTTCTCCCAACTGCCTGGTCACTTTTGCTACCAACTTAATGCTTAAAATAACCTGTAAGAAAACCCTGAGGTAACAGAGGAAGGTTTTGAGGCCAGCCCCCCTCAGGATTCCCGAGAACTCGTAGGAATATGGAATTGGGAAGAGCTCACCTTTCAAACCCAGGGTTTGCAGCTGGAAGAGCCGTCCAAGTTCATAAGGCAAAACCCGTAACAGATTGTTATTTAAAAGCAATTCCCTGCAGCAAATGCAAAAACACTCTGGGTGAGGATTACTGCAGAACAAACTCCTAAGGTGCTGTACACTGCTCGTCCTCAAAGAGAACACTTTTCACCCTGAATTTTATTATGGAAAGATATGCCAATCTTCCCATGTCAGAGCAGGACTGAAATAGATTCATTAGGGGGGAAAAGGCCACAAAGCCCAAGATGAAACCAGGGATGGAAACAGTGATATATCAACAATCAGTGAACCCAAAAGTAATTATTAGAACCAAAGCTCTGCACCAGCCTGGAGTTTTTCAGGATTATTTGAAATAACAGGCACAGGAAACAAACTGAAACTCTCGGTCCCAATCCCATGCCAGAGATTTGTTGGAAAGTTAACCAGAATAATTCCCCTCACCTGAGAGACACCATGTTTCCTAGTTCTGCTGGTAAACTTCTGAGTTTGTTGGATGACAGATCCAGGTAAACCAGATTGTGAAGCTTGGCAATATCAGGTGGAATGCGAGTAAGGTTGTTGTCATTGAGGTGCAGAGCAGTCAGGTGTGTCAGCGACCACAGCGACGTGCTTAAGCTCCGCACTCTCCCTGCAAGAGCAAAGCAAGGAGCTTAAACACCTCTTCAGTCTGGACCCCCTCTGGATCTGGAGTGGCCTGGGGCACCAGCTGTGGGAATTTAAACCCCAACCAACTCACCCGAGATCTCTAGTTCAGCCCAGTGCGACTTCTTCCCGTTGGCCACCTCTTCCGCCGACATGATGGTGTAAATCCTGCGAGGATCTGGAGGATCATATTTTTCCTTTGGCATCCCTGTTAGTCTGAAACACCATCACAACTGTTACTGCACAGCATTCCTTCTTTTCTGTCCTGCCAGGAGCTGACCTTTCCCAGGATACCCTGCAACACCACAGGGTTTATGCACAATACCAGAGTTTATAGCAGTTTACCAATGGCAATAGTAAATACCAGAGTTTATGCACAACAACTGTGGGGCTGCCAAGCAGGGCTCACACCTGGGCAGAATCCCAGGACGGAGAAGAGCATTTCATCCTAGGAAGTTGGGGTTTCTGCAGTCACCTGCTGGGTTTCCCAGTTTATCCCTCATAACCCACAGAGTTTTTTGCTGTGTGCAGAGCGTGCAGACAAGATCAGAAGCATTCTGCTGTTCCTGGATTGCTCCCTCCTGTAGCTTCCACAGGGAACCAAGGATTGAAGGGAAGGCTCTCAACTTCAGCTTACAAAGTCCTACTTCTCTACTGCACTGCACTCCAGTTCATGGCTCAAAATTGCAGTCTGAGAGGGAATTAGCTCCATTTTCCCATTAACTATCCAGCTTTTGTGTTCTGTCTTTTTCATCCTCGGGATCAGTGAAGACCTTTGTATTCCTAATGGCCCAGGAGCCACAAAAAGAGCTCAGGTAAAGCTCCCATTTAGCTGTTCTGGGGCACAAAGGGCTCCAGCCCAGTGCAAATTGTGAATATCAGAAGCCTAAGGAAGAGCCTGTGCACGCCAAATTCATCCAGCTGTCCTGACTGTCAGACAGGAGCTCTGATGTCCCATTCAAGAACCATCCACTTGCCAGGGGACACAGGGAGAGGTTTTATTCCGTGCCTCCCTGGGCTGTTGTGCTGGGCAGGACTCTGTGTGTGATTTAAAAACACCAGTTTGCTGCTGGCTGATCTTCTCCTCCCCAGACACACAAAATGCATGAGCCTTGCTTTCGTACAATTCCAAAGCAGCTGCTCCAGAGGATGCAGCTCTTCCCTCATACAGACTCTCCTCCAGCCAGCTGCAGTAGCTGTGAAGTTCTTCAAACAGCTCCAACTTGAATCTGAGGTAACAAGCTGAGGGTTCTGTTCAGCAAGTCCAGCTAACCGAAGATGCCACTTTCCCTCTCTGAGGGTCAAGTCCTGCAGCGTTTTCCAGGTGATGCTGACAGGGGCAGGAGCTGGCAGGGCTGTCCCCTGCCAAGGGTCTCACTTACAGGGCTGCTGCTTCCTTCCCTGACCAGGGCCCAAGGGAACTGCAGGGGCACATGCGAGCCCCACATCTATTTATAGCCTCCTGTGATGTCCAGGCGAGGTCACACGGCCAGCAGAGCTATGGGATAAGAGGATTCTGTGCTCACACTGCCTGGCACAGGGCCATGAAGGGAACCAGTTACTTAAGGACAAGGGATTACACCTGGAATCCTTCCATCTTTGCTCCAGAACCCCAAAATCACAACAGCCTTTCCCCCCCACACGAGCAGGCTGCGCTTTGGGAGTGCCAAATCTCTGGTGCTTTGCATTTTGCTGGATTTATCTTCGCTCTTCAAGTGCTGGTGTGAAAGTGGGGAGCACTCAAACAGACTCCTCACAGCCACAAGAGCCCTATTCCACCTGCCCTTGCTGCTTCATCTGTCAGATCTCAAACTGATCTGTACCTCTACGGCACCTGGACCCAAGACACAGAGAACTTCGCTGTCCAAACCCAGGATTTGGGTGAGTGCTCTGTGATGAAGTCCTTAAAACCACAGTGCTGAGATCACCTGAGCCACCCCTGCCCATCCACAGCAGCCCAGAGATGCCCACTGAGCCCCTGAGACCATCTGAGAGCTCCAGGAGTGCTCCCTGGCAGGGCACCCAAAGAAATGATGTTGAAATTCAGAAGCGCTCTGCCATTGCAGAGCGACGTGTGGCCATCAGGGGCCTGCAGAGGAGTGAGCCCTGAGCTGGGAGGCAAAGGACATCACATTTTTCAGCTGTTAGTCACTTGAATATTGCTTTGAAATCGTGGTGAGTCAAACAGGCAGCAGTGTCATTGCCACAGTTACAGAAAGGGGAAAACAAACCTAAATCAAATGCACTTTTTTCTCTTCCTTCTGCATCACAGCAACATTGAGCAAGACTTTAAAGTCATCATGTGTAATTTTGTTCTTAGGCAAAAAATGGATTCTGCCCAACTCTTGCCATTCCTATCTCCCACTTTGCTTGTCCTGAAACTAAAATAATATCCAGAAATCCCAACCTGGTTTTGCTCAGTCTTCAGGGAGCTGCACTGAGTTCCCTGGATCTGTTAACTCCAAAATCCAATGTGCATCAGTGCAAATTTTGGCAGGCCTTTCTCCCAAAGGCTCCCCTTGGAAAACTTCTGAAGCTACTAAAACTTGCTCTCTGCTACAGATCCAGCCCTGATTTTGTGTAAATTAAACACAGAATCTCTTCCTCATTTTGTGCAAATTACAGAAAACCCGGAGAGGAGAACATCAGCGCATTAGTAAGAACAATATTTATAAACTCTGGGGGTTCCTAATGGAATTCTGTGGGTCCAAAAAAACCCAGAGGGGACTGGCAGAGCAGGATTATTCAGTTGCAACTCTAAATGTGGTCCTGGGTGAGCCTAAGCTGCTCTCTGAGGTGGATATAAAAAGGGCCAGGGGCAGGTACTGTGTTCCCACCAGTAAGTCTGTGCCTGCCTTTTCCTTGGACTTTTGGGCTTTTATGCTGTTTTATTTGCTGGGCTGTTTTTGTATGTATGTATGAGGCATGCAAATGACTATCATTTAAAGCCTGGAGAAAAGAAATGAGTACTGGAACACTACTGAAGGTGTGAGGAGTGTCAGAGAGCAAAGGCTGAGTTACTGGGCTGCAGCAGAGGCTTTAATATGAAGAAATGTTTTTTGGGCAGCAAACAACAGGAACTTCTGGGTTTCAGACACACAGTCCCTTCCCCAAAGGGTGCAGAAGATGCACTGGTTAAATGACAGTGTTTTGTTCAAGTTGTTTGATACCTCAGTGCCTAAGAGAGGAGGCAAGTGGAGAAGAGCTGTGCCTGCCTCCTGCTGCAGCCCTGTGTTCATGGATGTTGGGCACAGCTCCACCCTCGCCTGCAGCCCAGTGACATTCCTTGTGACTCTTTCCTTTTCCCCCCAGCCTCTGTACATGGGTGAGTCAAGCTGCCAAAGCATGTTGGAAGCAATCCAGCAGGCAGGCCTGAGTGGCTCTTCCTTCCTGTGAGCACAGCTGAGTGTCCCTGCCCTCCCATCTGCTGATCCCTCCCAGCAGTGAGCCACGCTGTGGGCTGGCAGGGCGCGCACGTGTGCACACACACGTTGTCCAAGGCTGGGAGCTGGCAACAGCACCCTTTGGATCTCTTCATCCCCATGGCCATTCCTGTGCTTGGGGATCAGGCCTGAGTGGCTGCACAGGCTGCTTGTCTGCACTGCTCTGCTTTTAGGGGAATGGGACAAAGTCTCCCCATTTTGGCCTCCCCGAGGAGAAGAGAAGCACAGCCAATACCACAAACACAAAAACTGGATTTCCTCTTCTGTGGGGCAGGAAAACCAGGGGATTGTTCAAGGGTATGGGAAGGGCATTCAAAGAGACCTGCCAATACTGGGGTATGTACAGATGTGTCAGCTTAAGGTAAACTATTTGCTATATCCCTATATACAGCATCTAGTGTGTATAAATCAGCAAGAAAATATTGGAGAATGGGGAATTCTCATGGTCTTTGGCGTGGATCTGAGCTTTTGTCATGGTGCTTTCCTGCAGGACTGTGTCCAACCACCTCTGTGTACACTGCCTCTGCCAGGAATTCAAGGAGCACCCTGAGTCTGCCCTCCCAGGTACTGTGTCTTTCCAGCTTCTTACTCCAAATACTGGGGATATATACTGGGGATAGAGATTAGCAGGGAATCAAATGTAAATGCCTCATCATGTTTTTTTAATTGTAAAAACCCAAACAATTAAAAAAACCATGTTTGAGGAGATTTGAAAGAATCTCTGAGGGAAGTGTGACACAGAGCACAAGGAAATTCAAGTTGAGACTAGGGAAAAGCAAGAGGTAAGCAGGAACCTCCAGCTGTAAATTTAGTGGTGCTGGGGTCCCAGGGGGCTCCAGGTTATCTCTCTGAATCCAGAGAAGCACAGACAAGTCATAGAAGCAAACAGCAAAAGCCAAGGGGGGGGGGGGTGGGAAGGGAGGGAACGAGCTGTATTTGGTTAATTCCAGAGCCAACTGGCACTCACTTGATGGAAATGCTAATTGTCCCACTGACATACACCCACCAGTTATTCCCCTCATCTCCTCTAAATGAAGCAGGCTTTTCTTAAATCACAGGTAACACAAGCACATCCAGGTTTCCACCCTTCCTCTTCCTCCATGTCACACCCCCACTTACAGGACCAGCTGAACTATTTACTGCATGGAAATCCTCCACAGCATTACACAGCTGCTTTTTATTGTTGTGCTTGGTTAAGAGTCAGTCCTCCCTCCAAAGGAACAGTTCCTCCCTGCTGGAAGCAGCCTGTTACCTCTCAGGGTGTGCATGACAACTCCTGGAACCCACACCAGGTCTGCAGGTGCATTTTACACCTGGTGCTTCCAGAGCAGCTCTTGGAGCGAGCACAGGGCAGGCTGCTCCCCAAAATAAGGCTCTGCTTACCAGAAATGCATGCAAGGGGCCACTGTAGGGCAAGAAGTGTTCCCAGCAGCCAGCCTGTAAATAAATGTCATCAGAAGCCCCCAAAGGGCTGCTTTAAGCAGTGTGCTTGTTTATTTACACAACTATCTTGCACTGTTTCAGAGAAATGACCCATCTGCAATGTTGCTCCATCCCCTGGGGAGTGCTGGGCTTCTAATGAGATCCAGGACAGAGTGGCTTAAAGGATTAGGAGCTGAAGTCACCAGGAGTCTGGGGAAGGAAGAAGCCAGTACTGGATCAAGACAAAACACCATCCTGGGCTGTGGGCATGGCAGAGAAGCAGCCAAGGATGGCTGCAGCTCAAAGCAGGAGGTTTTCCTGGGACTGGGGAGACAGAAAACCCCAAAGAGC